TGGACTGAAATGGGCCCCCCCAGGGGTGAGGAAGGCCACGGGGAGGTTGGGCAGGACCAGTAAGGAAGAGAGCACCTGAGAGCATCCCTCTGTGATATTTTAGTTATTTGCATATTGTTATTATTAGCAGTTCTGTGTAATTCTAAGATTGTTCTTGCTATGTTGCGTTTTGTTAGCTACAGCATAATTTTTGTTACGGCATCACAAATAATTTACTACCTCTTGTCTGAAGACCACATTTCCACAGCAGTGCAGAAATAGCAAGTTCAAATGTTCTGTTAATGAGGGGTATATATAGCCTATTAAGCTTCACATAAAATTATACCTGGTTTCTTTTAAGAAATTATTAACGAATTAGTCACATCAAAGGCATTTCTGTGTCAATGTGTCATGCATTAGATATAAAGGATTATACTTCAGTACAGATTTTAGATCAGAATAATTATATTTGAGGTGACAGATTCTTACTCTGATACATGTGATTCATTAAGATTGGGGAAAAGCACAGAAAATTGCATTCCTCAAATAAAATCTTTTGTTTTAGATGTTTTCTTTTAAAGGTGTGTTCTTTTAGCTTAAAAAAAAAAACCCAGACCTTGTCAAGACATGAGAGTCAGTATTTTACTTTGCACAGCTGAAAAACGTCCGCTACTATGGTAATGGAGTTCAGAAAACATTTACAGCAAAAATAAAACTGACAGTCTCACTATCTGAAAATCTTTGTCCTTTTTGGGTTTTCACAAGTTGGCAAAGAAAGTTTTCTTTGTCCTGTAAATGGGTAGTATAGCTGAAGGAAAACAGCTTTCCACTGTGGAAGAGCTGCCGTTGGTGTGCGTGAAGAACACTTAAAAAATCATCACGTGAACAATATGGCTTCCACTTGGAGATTTTTCACTGGCTTTGCAGTATATGTGAAACTATTCCTGTAAATGCTTAACAAATACAGGTAATCTCAGAGCAAATTTCTGCATCATAGGAACTGCTGTGTTCAATTCATCACACATTCTTGCAGATCAAGTTAGAATTACAAGGAGTGGGAAAGAAACCATGTTTGTAGGTATGCTGTGCAAAATGAAGAAACAGGAAAGCAAGATCTGCATTTCCATAAGAGAAAGGGAAGGAAAAAAGTCAACTTTCCAGTTAAAATTACTTTGCATGTGCTTTCTGTGGAGGAAAACTTCGTAATATAGATTTCAGATTGCAGTATTGGCTTTTAGGGACTACTTTGCTTCAAGATTGAATAATACTGGTAATCCAAAAGTGGCCTAAGTTTCTAGTACCTCAGGAAACGCCCTGTTCAAGTGTTCCATACTGCAAGTTTGGCAGCAAGAACAGCTTTGGAACTCAGGGGCCTGGGGCTGCAAGTATGGCATAGTCTTTTTTACCAGGGGTAGAAAGTGTGAGATGGGCAAGAGAGACCTGCTTTTTTATTTCTTTTTTTCATGCATTCAAATTAACTCAGTGTCAAGAAACTTGAAGAACTTTAAGGATGTTCCTTGGAGTTGCCCGTGATAACTTTTACGCTGCACATATATGATTATATTCTAAATATGGAGCATGCCTGTTCCTGATATTCAGAACACTGAGCTGCAGAAATACATAGAACTCATTCTATAGCACTATATTACTTTATTACATGTAAGGGAAAAATAGCACAACATTGTTTTATAACATGTAAGGGAAAATGTTCTTTTTGTTCACCTGTAAATAGAAGATCTGATATACAGCTGTGTAATGTCAGCAACAGAAATAATAGAAATTTGCCTCTTTATTTCATGTGTGTGTGTTTTGTCAGGTATAAGCTGAAGTCTTTTTCATTAAGTAAATATACAAAAATTATTTACTAATATACCTATCTATCTTTTTTATATTTATCAGCTCCTGGGTAATGTCATCCTAGCAAATTATAGCCAGAATGTAACTATGCATGTTCCTACACTTTTCTGACTTCAGAACAAATCTTCCTTACTTCCAGATACTTCCACAGTATTTAGGGAACTTAATAATCCTCTTTTTTTCCTATTCTTTGTGTTTATATATTAAAACAATTTTTGAATTTCCCATTTCCAGGAAAACAGTGTGATGACATACTTCTATCTCCCTTCTGACATCTGGATGTCAAGTATTTTCTGAATTGTCAAGTCTCTTAAATTGCAGACAGAAGTTCTGTATTTTTCTAAGATGAAAGGCAAGAAACCTGAAGATCAGACTATGAGTGTTTGGAAGTGGAAGTTACCCAACCTGTAGCTGAGCAGGGAAAAACAGGCATGGCAGTACCCTCCCTTGCTAAGGGTGAGATTGTTCTGAGAAGTCACTTCTTCAAATACTGCCTAAGCAAAAGTGAAAAGGGCTCCTTAAAAATATACTTTGGCCATGTAGCTGTCTATCAGGACAACCTCCTTTCCCAGAGCAGCCATTGCCTGGACTAATGATCTTCAAAGTGCCATAAGGAAAGTGGAAATCAAATCAAGTGTTGAGAAAAATGTCCTTAGCAGCTGCTTTTGTTGCCAGAAGCTCCCTCAGTTGCATCACATATTTAGCTCAAACCAGTCACATTGAACACAGTGTATCAGTGATAATTATAGCTTTTTATCTAGAAAGATGGACAAGCCAAACAGTGACTTTCATCTGCCAAATTCCGTGATGCAGAGCTAATTGGCAGGATGTTAGAGAGGTCATAGCGTGGCCCAGTGAGAGATGAAGTACACCTGAACTCTTATAAATTAGCTCAGGATAATTTCTGACTTTCCAGGGAACTGGGTATCATTTAGGCTTAATAATCACAGTGAAAACAGCTGGGAAGAGTGTGTCTTGCAGCAGAAATCCCTGGTTTCAAAGGAAAGGATAGTAAAGCATAGAAATTTAAGTGCAACATAATACATCATTCAGATTAAAATAAATCTTCGTATATGGTTCCCTAACTATCTAACCTAATATGCCTAATCCAGGAATGACCAATGACGGACGCCTAGAAAGAAGCTAAGAATAAAATAAGAATCTAATAATTTTCAGAAATCATAGAATCATCACAGTATGGTTTTGGTTGGAAGGGACCTTAAAGACTACCCAGTTCCAACCCCTCTGCCATGGGCAGGGACACCCTCCACTAGACCAGGTTGCTCAAAGCCTCATCCAGCCTGGCCTTGAACACTTCCAGGGATGGGGCATCCACAGCTTCTCTGGGCAACCTGTCCCAGTGCCTCACCACCCTCTCCAGGAAGAACTTCTTCCTTATACCTAATCTGAATCTACCTGCTTTCAATTTAACCCCGTTACCCCTTGCCCTGTCATGGCAGGCCCCTTGTAAAAAGGCCCCCTCCTCCTTGTAGGGCACTTCAGGCACTGGAAGGTGCTATAAGGTCTCCCCGGAGCCTTCCCTTCTCCAGGCTGAACAAGCCCAACTCTCTCAGCCTGTCCCCATAGCAGAGGTGTTCCAGCCCTCGGAGCATCTTTGTGGCCTCCTCTGGCCTTGCTCAAACAGGTCCATGTCCTTCTTATGTTAAGGGCTGCAGAGCTGAACGCAGAACTGCAGGTGAGGGAGAGAGAGGAGAGAAAAATCTAACAGAAGTCTTGTGGGTTCAAATAAGACCAGGGAGAGAGAATTCACAATTACCATCATGGGCAAAACAGATTTGACTTAAGGAAAATGAATGTAATTAATCAGACTAGGATAATGAGAAGTAAAACCAAATCTTACACCTTCCCCCCACCCCTCCCTTCTCTGTGGGCTCAGCTTTGTTCCCAATTTCTCTGCTGCTTCCCTTCCAGCAGGACAGGGGGATGGGGAACTGGGGTTGTGGTCAGTTCATCACACTGTGTTTCTCTCTCTCCCCTTCCTCCTTGGTGGAAGATTCCTTGTACTTCCCCTGCTCCAGCGTGAGGTCCCTCACATGGGAGACAGTCCTCCATAAACTTCTCCAGTGTGAGCCCTTCCCAGGAGCTGCAGTTTTTCATACGCTCCTCCAGCATGGGTCCTTTCCATGCAGTTCAGTCATTCAGGAACAACATTCAGAACAGTGTGATAGCAGGTGATTCCAGGGAGGAAAGTCCCTGTCTGCAGCAGCAGCCACCACCCTTGTTTTCCCTCCAAGTATGCACTCACCCCCCTCCAACAAGAGCATGACCAGTGACCTCTTTTTCTTTGTGCTTGATTTCTCATGGGTTTGTGTTGAAGCTCTTCCCCTTTCCCATGCATCTGTCCTTCCCATGGAGAAGTAGATCTGGGTCTGTGTTCTTCAAGAAGCAAAATTCAATGCTGTCTCCGTTTCTGAGATTCCTTAAGCTGGTTTTGGACACATAATATGCCTGTGCATAGATATATAAACATTCCTCGAAAGCTTAAACGTAGTGGGATGCCGATAGCAATGTCATCGTGTTGCAGACTGACTCAGAAAATGTTAAGGCCACAGTTAGCATCATACAGTGTTTATCTGTGTGCTGCATCAGCTTGGTCACTAATAGTGCCTGTCAGGTACTATTGGCGGTGAGTCAGGGTTCTCTTTTATATCACCTTCTAGTACTCTCTTTCTTTGCTTTTTTAGAACTTTACCTTCAAAGAAATGCATGTTTGTAAGGATTTAGTAAGTGCAATCCAAACACTGTACGTTGCACAGTTTAACAGAATAATGTGGTATGGTGTTGGTTAGTTAGGAAAGTGTATATTAGCAATATATGGAAAAGGCTAATGAAACAGGTTTGTGTTAAGGCTGTTTGAATTTTTAACTTTGCAATATCCTCAGGAAATAAATCCCAGTTTATATAAATTAAGTTCAACTCTGATTTCTAAATCAGGGATTCTGTGCACAGAAGTTGTAAGCTTGAAACAGTATTCTTGTTATTCTTTTCTGTAAAAACTTGACTTGTAAAATACTTACAAAATTACTGAAGAGGCTGTTATATTTGACAGAGCTCCCTTGTCAGCATGCATGTTTCTATTTAGTTTTAACTTAATTCTACCTCAATTTTTTTCTCTCATTTATTGTCTTATACATGTTTCCCAGGATAGCCCACTGGTCTTACAGTCTGACAGAAATGTAACAGTGAATGCAAGAAATCACATGGGACAGTTAACTGGACAACTGACAGTAGGTGAGTGTTCTTTATTGACTGTTATGTGTATCAGTTTAGCTTTATGAATAGGTTTCATTAATTAGTATTGAAGACAAAATACTGCTGAATAGTCAGAAAAAGATCTAATCACCATACTCAAAAAACAGTGCATACAAAGGATCGTAAGTGCATGATTCAGCATTATCTGAAGGCAGAGAAAGTAGAAATGGATCAAAATAGTTATAATATACCGTAATGAAAAATAATTATTTTGGGGGCAACTGTAACAAAACAAACTAAAAAAAAAAATCAGAAAAACCTGTTTCAACGATTTCAGTTGGAAAATCATCATCATTTTCTTTCAAGTTCTGTCAGTCTTCCATTACTTCAGTGAGAATTGGTTTGTCCCCGTTATTCTCACAATATATTTGTATTAGTATATATTGAAAACATTTGGAGTAACTGAATGTAAAAAACTGGAACAAAACAAAAATTCAAATGTTTTCCAAGACAATACAGAATTTAAATGGAAAGTGATCACACTGCCAGTCATTCATTAAAATGGTGTTTGACATTTTGCAAAGTATAAAATATAGCAAATCAAAGTTTCAGATGAAATGGAAATAAAAAAGTCCTCTAATTATCTGTTACACTTTTCATGTATTTTTCCCTGTTTTTATAAGTTTTTCATGTTATACTTTGGTTTTAACACAAATCATATTTTTGTATTAGTAAATCTGAAGTAATATTTTTAATGTTTTCAGTACTAGAATAGCACTGAAGATATCGGTTTTTTAAAAATCTTGGCAAAAAAATAGTACAAGGTAACGTTCTAGATCTGTTAGAAAGCAATATATATTGACTGGAGATTGGATGAAAAATACACAAGCATATATGTGTAAGATAATAATGCATATATAAATTTGAGGAGACACCCTTTAGAATGCACATATTTTCATTGTTTTCACTTTACTTTTGGATTAAGCTGTTTTTCATCCACTCTTTTTCCTCATGTGCTGAGGATATGCTCACAGTAGTTTTAAAGTCTAGTTGTAATTTACACTGAGCTTTCATACTAGCTGGAGATAGTGGCTTCAAGTTGTAAAAAGTCCTTGGCAAGTGCGTACAGAGTGACAGACCATCTGCACTGATTTCCCTGAATGACCACATCAAATGAGTGTGCAAAGGTAACCAGACTGGCTAGCAGATACAGATGAGGAGAATTAAGCTAACACCTGTTCTAGCCATATTGTACTTGCCCAGTGTGTTTATGGAATGCCATTCTGGTTCATCCAGGGTATTATCAAACCCTTCCATTCCAGCTGGTAGTTGCTAAAAGGTGAGTTGCCCATGGCAAACATCCACAATATCTGAAATAGATATGATACTGTGATTGCTGAGACCGTTTCTGCAAAGTGAATCCTGCACTGAAAATGTATGTGGGTGTATCAAGACTGATCTACTTAAAGGCATCACACTAGAGGTTAATATTCTAACAATATAAAGACCTGAAGAAAACGTGTTCTTAGGTTACTCTCATTAGAGTGAACACCTGTAAGCTTCTTGGTTTGCAGCTGTTGCAGAGTGTCTGGAGAGTGGAAGTTTGCTGAATTTCAGTATTGTATTTACGTTATTTCTTATTCTTTGTCTTCCACTTTTTTTTCATAATGACTGTATAACCTTTATTCTTTGTTAAATTAATATAAAAATCTGCTTCTTCATTTTTTATAAAATCCTCATACAGTATTGAGTGCACATTGAAATATTCCTTAGTTTTTTATTTATTATTTAATATTTTATACTTACTACAAGCACTCATAACTACTAGTAGAATCAGTAAAAACCTGAACATTTCACTACTGTCAATCAAAGAAATTAACAGACACCTAAAATTTGAAATTCCTACCCACCCATCTAAAAATTTTTCTTGTATAAGGTAGAGAAGAGAAAGACAATTTTTTTTTTTTATTTCTGCCTAGAAAGAAGGCAGCAAGAACACTTCATTTGTGCCTAGAGAAGAAGAAGTGACATTTCTATACAAAGTTTTCTGACATCAGAAAATATTTTTTCCTATTACCAGTATATATACTCAGGATAAGTCCCCATCTAATAACAAAAATAATAATAAAAATAATACAAATTTATATGCATGTCAGAAGCATTCAGAAAAGAGAGGCTGCATTCAGGTAGATGATAATGTAGTTCCTATATATGTGATATCATTGGCATTGTATCTGTATTTCACAGGACATAAGTGATGTTTCAAGGCAATAAATAAGCCGGTTTCTTGTCTTTGAGGTTCAAATTGTTGGTCATGTCAAATTTTAGGACAACTAAAAACTCTTTCTTTGCTATTTGAAATTGTGCCATACAGGACTAAGACAAACTTAAGTGCATCTAATTAAAACTGTAATGGGAAGATAGATTAATGTAAAGATGTAGGGGTGGTGCTGGGAGGAAGAAGGCTGGGAGGTGGAAAAACACCAGTGAAACTGAGGATAACAGTTATTTAATTCTGTGAGTGACAATGGAAGACAAGATATTTCTGTAAAGTTCATTGTTAAGACATAAAATCACATAATTGTTTAGGTTGGAAAAGACCTTTAAGATCATTAATTCCAACCATTAACCCCTCTTGAGTCCATCACTAAACCACATCCCTGTGCACCACTTCTACACATCTTTTAAATACCTCCAGGGATGGGGACTCAACCACTTCTTGGGGCAGTCTGTTCCAATTCTAACAATGAAGACTGTATGGAGAGGAAGCTACCGGTGTAGCAATGCTGCGCTTTTTTTTTTTTTTTTTTTAATTTTTCTATACCATCTGAGCTAGGAATGTTGGCTTGTACTCTGGTCTACTCGTGGCATATGGTCAGAAAACTGCCAGGTTGCATGTGGATCTCCAGAAAGACTCCACAACTTTTAATCTTTAGGCATGCTAGAGCAGATGTAGCACAGACATAAAGGTTATCTACATGACAAAGACGATCATTCATTGGTATTTGTATCTAAGCCTGATAAAGACAATCACAACACTCTCCTCCCAACCCGTAAGTAGCAATTCCCTTTGAATTATGCATTCTACAAATTACCTTGGCACAACTTTTCTCCTCTGTTTAGTCAAAGTTTGCATAACTTCAAGCTATATGGAAAAAAGATCTACTTTTTTGCCAGTCTTAGAAAAGCACAGTAGTTGCTCACGTCAAGCCAGAAGACTGTTGTCTCTATGCTGCCCGCACAGATCATATATACCTCAGCTTCTTTTTGAGTGGAGGCCATTAGGCTGACAAGTGCTATGGGGATCAAAATTAAATTTGGCTGAAAGGAGACATTTGAAACCCACAGTTACTGTAATTTCATCTTCAGATTTGATAATTACTTTGCCAACCTTCTCATTTTTTTCACAAGTTAGTGTGTCCCCCCCCCCCCCTTGTTACAATAATTGTTTCTGACAGGTTTTTCTGCTATTTCTTGGCCCTTTTCAATTCATAACTATCACTGAGGATATCTGAAATGTGCAAAAATGTGCACTTCATTTTTGCTAAGCTTTGGGTTCTTTGAGACAGAATCTTAACTTTCATAGAGCTCCAGAGCTGTACACGTCACAGCTTTAGAAAACTCCCGAACCTGTAGCTCTACCCACTGAGATCTCTAGAGCCATGAAAATTGAGAACAATTATTTGAATACCAATGAAAGTTATGTCACACTTTTTGCAATTAGTTTTTGAAAATAGCAGGCACACATATAGTTTTCAATTACAGCACTGGTAAAGACTGATAACGCATTAAAAGATACAGGTATTCTAATAACTTGTCAAATTCAATGACAGTTTCCATCTATTTACCATAAAAATTGTGCTGTGTATTTGAGATATTTTTCTTAAAAATCTACTGTCTCACTTGCTGTGTTCCACCAAGAGTACGTGGAGCATTGTACAGAAGTTATTAGACATTAGAAACTACAGGTATGTAAACTTGTGGGAGTAGAAATAGCCCCCTTCCGCATTTTGCCTATATCACATGTGCCAATTGCCTATGCCTGTCCCTACCGATAAACAGGTTTATTTTTACCAGGTAAAACATCCTGCTGCTCCTTCACTTCTGAGGTAATCAAGGTCACTCATGACCTAAAGGTTGCCTGCCTCGAATGTTCCCTTTTCAACACCTAGACATCAATCACGATCTGAAGCAACAGACAACATTTCAAGCGTTCCTGCTTTTAGAATCACCTGTGATAGGGCTTGTTATAATATATGTGCACATGTGCTTCTAAAACTTTGATGTTTAATCTCAGACATATATTTATTTAAGATCATTATGAACTTGAACTGTGCCTGTTAAGGCAATGGAAGTAATAACATGCTTAAGTAACAACAGATGAGAAATATTTCTGTGTGTTTTAATCCTGTTCGCAGACGTAGGAGCCTGAAAGTAAGGTCTCTATGTTCAGATAAATGTTGCAAGGGGAGAGCAGTTTCACAGCGATCATACACTTTTCACCTTTCCTCACAGTAGAAAAATGGAAGAAATGGGCTCAACTCCTCTCTTATCTGTATGGTTGGTTTTGTATTGTCAGTGGTAGGGTGCCAGGGAGAGAAGGAATGATGTTGTTTTACAATCCCTCATTAGCTGCTTTTACCCTTCAACTGCGCAAATGTAGATCAGAACTTAATTATCAGGAACATTTAAAATCAAGTCTCTCTACCTTTCTGTACAGGGAGGTTTGGCTACCTATAGTCCCAAACTAAAGTGAAATTTAAAAAATTGAAAATATATATTAAACATTGTATTTGTCTAATATTCATATTATAACATTTAATCTGATAATGACTGTTGTGCACTAGGATTTTGAATATTGTTAAGACGACATGTTGCAAAACCAAAGTTAGATAAATGAGTTAATCCATTTCTCAGCATTCTCTGAATTTCTGTTCCTTAATTTAATACAGACCTGAAAAAAAAAAAAAAAATTGGTCATTAAAACCACTTTGAAGTGTGAAAATCAGAAATAAAGTCTATTCACTTCTACCATATCT